GAAAAAAAAAAAAAAACGACACAAGGAGAAACACAAAATTCTGTGTACACTTAAAACAAGTAAAGAGATTGAATTAATAATTAAATATCTTTCCACAAAGAAAAGCCCAAGCCAGCTGATTGCCATGGCCCCTGTCTATAATCCCAACCCTTTGGGAGGCTAAGGCAGGAGGATCACTTGAGGCCAGGAGTTTCAGACAAGCCTGGGCAACAGAGCAAGACCCTCTATGAAAAAAACACAAAAATTAGCTGGTCATGGTGGTATGCCCTTGCAGTCCTAGCTTTGAGTCTGAGGGAGTTTGAGCCTGCAGTGAGCTATGATTGTGCCACTGCACTCTAGCCTGGGCATAGCCTGGGCAACAGAGACCCTGTCTCTAAATAAATAGAGAATCAAAAAAAAAAAAAAAAGGAAAGGAAGAAAAGCTTAGGCCCAGGTAGCTTCACTGGTGATAACTTTTTTTTTTTTTTTTTGAGACAGAGTCTCAATTGTGCTGCCCAGGCTGGAGTGCAGGGGCACGACCTTGGCTCGCTGCAACCTTAGCCTCCTGGGTTCAAGTGATTCTTGTGCCTCAGCCACCTGAGTAGCTGGGATTACAAGTGAGTCACCACACCTAGCTAATTTTTGTATTTTTACAAAAATACACAGTTTACAAAAATTTACAGGTTTTCTCCATGTTGCCCAGGCAGGTCAGAAAATAACTTTTATCGGCTGGGCGTAGTGGCTCACCCCTATAATCCCAGCAGTTTGGAAGGCCGAAGCAGATCACCTGAGGTCAGGAGTTTGAGACCAGCCTGACCAACATGGCAAAACTCCATCTCTACTAAAAATACAAAAATTAGCTGGGCGTGCTGGCGGGCGCCTGTAATCGCAGCTACCTTGGAGGCTGAGGCACGAGAATCGCTTGAACCTGGGAGGCAAAGGTTACAGTGGGCCAAGATCGCACTACTACACTCCAGTCTGGGCGGCAAAGTGAGACTCTGTCTCAAAAAAAAAAAAAAAAACTTTTATCTCCAAGTTCTGCCCAGCGCGGTGGCTCACGCCTGTAATCCCAGCACTCTGGGAGGCCGAGGCGGGTGGATCACAAGGTCAGGAGATCGAGACCATCCTGGCTAACAGGCGTGGCGGCAGGCGCCTGTAGTCCCAGCTAATCGGGAGGCTGAGGCAGGAGAATGGCATGAACCCGGGAGGCGGAGCTTGCACGAGCTGAGATGGCGCCACCGCACTCCAGCCTGGGCGACAGAGCAAGACTCCGTCTCAAAAAAAAAAAAAAAAAGAATCCAAGTTCTTTTAAATGATCAGGGCCCAATGAGATATTAAAATGAGATCGTAATCACTTCCTACTCCCCCTTTTTGAGCTATGACTCATCTACCAAAACTGCTTGCTATTGCCACAAGTGGGTAAGGATTAATCTAATAATGCCCTACCTGACGCTATATCCTACATCCTATAGCTTAACAATGTACAGCCAATCACTAACCAATGTTATTCCTGTAAATCAATGAGAATTCTTGATAAACGACTTTGTATGAGTCCCACTCCCTGTCCACATTTTTTGCCTTTAAAAATCAAGTAAACTCTTTAAATCATATTTTGTGTGTTAGCCTCTTCCTTGTAGATCAACACTTCTATAAAATACTGTAAAAAGAAATATTACCAACTAGGTGTGGTGGCTCACACCTGGAATCCCAACACTTTGGGAGGCTGAGGCTGGTGGATCACCTGAGGTCAGGAGTTCAAAACCAGCCTGGCCAACACAGTGAAACTCTGTCTCTACTGAAAATACAAAAAAATTAGCTGGGTATGGAAGCTCCCTTCTGTAATCACAGCTACTTAGGAGGCTGAGGCTCGAGAATCACTTGAATATGGGACAGGGAGGCTGCAGTGAGTTGAGATCATGCCACCACACTCTAGCATGGGCGACAGAGTGGGATTCCGTCTGCACTCCAGCCTGGGTAACGGTGAGACTGCGTCTCAAAAAAAAAAAAAAAAAAAAAAATTAAGAAGATCTACAAGAGAAAATTTCTCAAATCTTGGGTTAAGATAAAGAGTTATTAGATACGACACTACAAGCACAATACATAGGATAAAAAACTGATAAATTTAATTTCATCAAAACTTAAAACTTTTGTGCTTCAAAAGGCACTGTTTAGAAAATGAAAACACAAGTCAGTCAGGGGGGAATCTTTGGAAACCATATCTATAATAAAAGACTTGTACCCAGAACACACAGACAACTCTTACAACTCAGTAGAAGACAAACAGCCCAATTACAAAATAGGCAAATGATGTCAATAGATATTTCACCAAAGATCTACAAATGGGTAGTTAGCCCATGAAAAGGTGCTCAGTATTATCAGTCTTTAGGAAACCACAATGAGATATCACTACATGCCCACTAGAATGCCTATAATCAAAAAAGACAAGTGTTGTCAAGGTTATAGAAAAAGCAAAACCCTCATACATTGAAGGCAGAAATATAAAAGGTGAAGCCATTTTGGAAAAGTTTGGCAGTTCTTCAAAATGTTAGAGTTACGATATGACCCAGCAATTCCATTCTTAGGGGTATACTCAAGAAATGAAACGTATGTTCACACAAAAACTTGGGCATGAATGTTCGCAGCAGCACTATTCACAAAAACTCCAAACTGGAAACAATCCAAATGTCTAGAAATAATGAACAGATTAATAGATTGTGTTATATTCATTCAATGGAATTCTATTTAGCAATAAAAATGAAGTACTAATACACACCATGACTTGGCTGAACTTCAAAAACATGCCGAGAGAAGCCAAACTCAAAAGACTACCCAAGACAGAAAACAGATCACTGGTTGCCTAGGGCAGGAGGTGGGAGTGGGGATTTAATATAAGTAAGCTCAAAGGAACTAATTGGGGTGATGGAAATGTTCTAAAACTGGACTGTGGTAATGGCTATACAACTGTACATTGGCTAATAATCACTGGCGATATGCTTACAATGGGCGACTTGTATGGTATATAAACTGTAACTCAAGGTGCTAAGAGAAGAAAAAGAGTGAGTAGAACTTAATGTTGCAGGTGTCTACTTAGATTTCATATAAATGTACGAGAAGTGAGGAGAACAGGGAAATGAAATGGGTCGTAACAGTGCCACTGTACACTCACATACACATAGCAGACAGTTCACTTTTTAGAGCACAGTGGTTTTCTGCTTCAAGATCCAGGGCAAAGGTCACCTTTTGTGCACCTCCAACTCTTAAAACATTCCTCAGCACTGCATCCTTTACATTACACTGGAACTGTTTTAGTGTCTGCTTCCTGGACTAGACTGCAAGCCTTTCCAGGGAAAGGGCAGTATCTTTCTCTGATACTCCAGCTCTGAAGCCCAACCAATTCTCGGTCGAGAGCAGACATCTGTGAATGTTTGTCAAATTAATGAAAGGAAAATTGGGGTAGAGCAAGGAAACTACCAAACAAGTTTGAAAGTAGGAGAGCAGGGTGTGGTGGCTCATGCCTGTAATCCCAGCACTTTGGGAGGTCAAGGAGGGCAGATCACTTGAGGTCAGGAGTTCGAGAACAGCCTGGCCAACATGGTCAAACCCCATCTCTACTAAAAATACAAAAATCAGCTGAGCATGATGGTGGTCGCCTGTAATCCCAGCTACTCCGGGGGCTGGGGCAGCATAGAACTGCTTGAACCTGGGAGGCAGAGGTTGCGGTGGGATTGTGCCACTGCACTCCAACCTGGGTGACAGAGGGAGACTCTCTCAAAAAAAAAAAAAAAAAAAAAAAAAAAAGAAAAAGGAGAGAGGGCCCCAGAAATGGTATGTGTGTGTGTATGTATTTATATATACACATATATGTAAATATACACATACATATACACATACACACACATACCATTTCTGGGGCCCTGCCTTTCTTTTTAATATATATATATAAACTTAGGAGACAGGCTAGACTTGTTTTTAAATTGGAGAATTATATACCAGGGTATAGGTCTGTGTATCACCCCTAATTTAAACATATCTTCCTCAGATATGGTCCAAATTTCAATTTTATCCAGGGCAGTCAGTTGACAAATAGCATATTAAACTTTCCATGACAAGTCTGCTCAGCAAGCAAACAAATCACTGGAGAAATCTGATTTCCCTCCAGATACCTGACAGGGTTAGCAGAGAAGCCCAGATAGAGTTCTTGTACACTTGGGTTAGCATTAAGCAGCTGGCTCTGTAAAGGACGGTGAAGGGAGTCACACAAGAAGGTCAGAACAGCTCTTTCCCATCCTTCTCTTTCTTTCATCCCATCTTACCCAGTCTCAGGTCAAGTGCGCAGCAAGCTGGCACACTTCGGCCCAGAAGTGACCCCTGACGTGGCTTTGCTTATACCGTTCTCAGCAACTTTGGGTCAAGTGTACAACACAAAGAAGCTGGAGTCAAAGCGAACCCAGACCAGTTTCTCAGGCTCCTTGTCCCCACCTTAGAATAAGGAACCCAGCAAGTAGAAGCCAGCGAGCTAAAAACGGGTAAGCCACGGCTCAGTCACCAAGCCCAGGAGGAACCCGGGGGTAAGGAGAAGGCCTTCCAGAGCCCTCGGAAGTGTGGGGCCTGACAGAAGGGAGGCAAGAGGCTCTACGAGGAAATCTGGAGATTGGGACGATGAGGAGTCAAGGAGTGGTGAGGGGCACTCGGCCTGAATTACGGGGATGGCAAAGACTGTGGGTCTCCGACAAGCATAGGGATGACAATCTTCGAATTTGGGAAAAACTGCGCTGTGGTGACTGATGAAGGAGGAGGGGAAAAGCTCTGGGCCTGAGCGTGAGCGGCCGTGATCACCCTCAGCGCGCTGGGGGCCCGATTCTTGGGGTGCCCGCGCCTGAATGGGGAGCACAAGTCTGGGGGTCCCGGAGCGCAGCACGCAAGGAGGCGGGCCAGGGGGTGTGACCGCAGGCGCTTCCGCAGCTCCCCGCGAGCCGCGCAGGCGGGTGAGGGGCTTCCTGCCTCCAAAGCCCCCGACTCACCTTCCTCCCTACCCACCGGCTGGGCACCGGACACAGCTTCCCACAGGCGGCGCGCCCTCTCGCGGTCAAAGCGCACCCCATCCGGCTCCTGGCCCTCTAGCTCCTCCGAGCTGTTGTAACGCCCGGCCCCTCCGCCGTCTGCGGCCTCCACTGTGGCCGGCGCGGGATACGCCATCTTCCCCGCAAACCTTCGCCGGTGGAGAGCCGCTCAGGCGCCTAAGTATCGCGAGATTGGGGGAGTGGTACTTGGTCCGGCCAACAAATCTCGCGAGGTTTGGGCGCTGCCGTGCGGTACCTGGCGCTTATTTTGCTTTGCTACCTCTGGTACCCCAGAGTGTGTGGTGTGGATTCGGAAACCTGTCGCTGATTCCGCAGCAGTGACACCCCCTCCCGGAGGGGCTAGTGCGGTTTTGGCTCAGGACTCTCACCTTCCTCACGGTCAGCCCTTGATACTTTTCATTTCGTTCTCAAGGTTCCGTTATGTGGGAGTGTTTTTGCCATTTCATTTACAGGGAAACTGAGGCCCAGAACCTAGAAATGGTTAACTCAACAGTTCGCTGCTAGTAAGTAGTAGTACAGCTGAGGTTCCGTATTACTAATAATAGATTCTACTTGTTGAGTTCCAAGTGCCGGCTCCCAGCTCTGATTTTCCCTGAGACTCCGGACCTGTACACATCCAGTTGCCTCTTCCACAGTTCACTCGAATGGCTAATAGGCTTCTCCAATGTAGCTGTCAGACCCCAAATTTTATCTTCCAACCCCAGAGCTGCTCCTTCCCGTGTCTTTGGGAGCCATCATCTCTTGCCTAGGTTATTGTAATAGCCACCTCATTGGTATTCACAGCACAGCAGTCCCAGGGATCCTCTTATGACAAGTCAGATCATGACACTTAGGTTCTCAAATCCTCCAACAGCTTCCCATCTCACTGTTAGTAAAAGTCAAAGTCCTTACTTTGACCAACAAGGCCCTGTACAATCTGACTTCACTTAACCTCCCTGATCCTGATGTGTCACTCAGTCTCCAACTCCTTAATTCCTGTCCCGGTTACACAGGCCTCCTGGGGTGCATTTCTCCCATATATCTTCATGGCTCAGTCTCCCACTTCCTTCTCTGGCTACTGTATCTAAAATACCTTCTCTGGCTATCTCATCTAAAATGTTACTTTTCCACACATACTTCATGTCCTCCTTTCCTGCTTTATTTCATATATATTTTACTTTTTATCTTGTTTAGTGTCTGTCTACCTACTAGAAGGCAAGCCCCAGGAAGGCAGGGATTTTTGTCTATTTTCTTTTCTTTTTCTTTTTTCTTTTTTTTTTTTGAGATGGAGTTTTGCTCTGTCGCCACGTTGGAGTGCAGTGATGCGATCTCGGCTCACTGCAACCTCCGCCTCCCGGGTTCAAGCAATTCTCCTGTTTCAGCCTCCCGAGTAGCTGGGACTACAGGCACATGCCACTGCATCCAGCTAATTTTTGTATTTTTGGTAAAGACAGGGTTTCACTATGTTAGCTAGGCTGATCTCGAACTCCTGACCTCGTAATCGTCCCACCTCAGCCTCCCGAAGTGCTGGGATTACAGGCACATGTCACCGCGCCCAGCCTTTTGTCTCTTTTCATTGTACCTGAATCTCCAGCACTTTGAAATAGAACCTGGACCCTCCTAGGTACATACAAAGTATTTGTTTAATGAATGAAGTTTTTAATATTACTAGCTTATTTCAACCTTATTTGTTCAAATACGGAGAATTTACTATGAGCTAGATGATATTTTGAGCATGGAAATATAGTAGTGAACAAGACAGGGAAGCTCTAGTATTTTTTATTGTAGTGGAGGAGAGTACAATAAAAAAGTTAACAGTAGGCCGGGCGCGGTGGCTCACGCCTGTAATCCCAGCACTTTGGGAGGCCAAGGCAGGCGGATCATTAGGTCAGGAGATTGAGACCATCCTGGCTAACACGGTGAAACCTTATCCCTACTAAAAATACAAAAAAATTCGGGTGTGGTGGCGGGCACCTGTAATCCCAGCTACTCGGGAGGCTGAGGGAGGAAAATGGCATGAACCCGCGAGGCAGAGCTTGCAGTGAGCCGAGATCGCACCACTGCACTCCATCCTGGGCGACAGAGGGAGACTTTTTCCAAAAAAAAAAAAAAAAAAAGGTTAACAGTGATAAGTGCTAAGGAGAAGATAAAACGGGATTGCATCTCAGGTGAATGATGTGTTAGGAACATTAGTCAGGGTGGTGTCAGGGGAAGCCTCTGGGAAAATGACATTTGAGCTAAGACCTGATTAATGAGAAGGGGTAGCCATGCAAAAAGCTGGGCAAGAGTGTTCTAGCAGAGAGAACAGCAGGTGCAAAGGCCCTGAGGCAGGAGAGAGCTTGATGTGTTGGAGGAACAGGAAAAAGGAAAGCATGGCTGGAGCCCAGTGAACAAGGGCGAAAGTAGTATCAGATGAGGCCAAAGAGAGACAGATATGAATTATTTTTGCTTGAGATCATATAGCTCATTGGTGTAATTTAGTCATTTATACTACAAGTATTTCCTTATTCATGCTACAAATACTGAGCACCAGCTCTATATCAGGCCTCAGGTCTCAGAGCTTCCAATTTTCCAATATAGTACGTGACTGATGTTTGGCCAATGCTTTACAACTTTTTTGTTTTGTTTTGTTTTATAGATGGAGTCTCTGTTGCCCAGGCTGGAGTGCAGTGGCACGATCACAGTTCACTGCAACCTCCACCTCCTGGGTTCAAGCGATTCTCCTGCCTCAGCCTCCTGAGTAGCTGGGATTACAGGCATCCATCACCATACCCGGCTATTTTTTGTATTTTTAGTAGAGACGGGGTTTCACCTTGTTGGCCAGGCTGGTTGTGAACTCCTGGCCTCAGGTGATCTGCCTGCGTCGACCTCCTGAAGTGCTGGGAATACAGGCATGAGCTACCACACCCAGTCTGCAATTTTTTTTTTTTTTTTTTGAAACAGGGTTTCACTAGTGCAGTGGTATGATCATAGCTCACTGTAACCTTGAACTCCCACACTCAAGTGTTCCTCAGCCTCCTGAGTAGCAAGGACTACAGGTGGACACTACCTTGCCCAGAATTAAAATTTTTTTTTTTTTTTTTTGTAGAGACAGGGGTTTCCCTATATTGCCCAGGCTGGTCTCAAACTCCTGAGCTCAAGTGATCCTCCTGCCTCAGCCTCCCAAAGTGCTGGGATTCCTGGTGTTAACCACACACTTAGCCCAGGGCAGTGCTTTACAGTTTGCAAAGCGCCTACATTATAGCATTTAATCCTCAGCGTGGTTTCTGTTAGGGATTTCTTCATAAGTGATGATAAAGAAACAGACTAGGAAAGGTAAAGGTTTTGTCAAGATCACACAGCTAGTTAGGTACAGAGCCCATGCTCGAACACTAGTCCTTAGATTGCAAATCTATGTCCTTTTGCCAACACCAGATGACCAGCCTAAAAGCCAGTGACTGCACATTACTTATTCTCTTTTTATTTATTTATTTGCTTTTAGAGACAGGGTTTCACTATGTTAGCCAGGGTGGTCACAAACTACTCATTTATCTTAAAGCAGAGTTCTGGTTACTCATACGTGCATAGCATAAGTTATTCAGGGATAATCCAAGGGATAGAGGGGATTTTTGTTGAAGTGGCAGAACCCACAAGGATATTTTTGAATACTATGTAACAAATCCTGGGAGTGGAGTATATAAGTTGCTTTGCATATTATTGGAAAACAACCCCTCCACCCCCACCACTCCCAATCCAATTACATGCTCAAAATAATGTCCATTTATTCTCCAATGAGTGCTGTCAGGGTTCATCCCCTGTGCCATAGAGGCAGAGTCCTGAGCTACCCTGCTGAGGGTCTGAACAGCCCTCATTGTCACCAGTTTTCTATTTTGCCTTTGTGTGAGTGCTTCTAAGAACGGCCCAGGCCTGGACTCCTTGCTGGGACCTGGCAGTGCAGGTGATGCCTTATATTTGTTGGGCTGGCTTTTTAGTTCCTCCTTGTGGAAAATGAGAACTATTTTCCAACACATCCTACTGTGTATTGTTGCCATGGGAGATGAACAATCCCAGGGAAATGGCTTTGCTAAGGGACAGGAACTGGCTACAGTTCAGCATACATTTCAGTTGCTTAAATACTGACTCTGTGTGTGCATGTGCAAACTAAACTATAGGGCTTAAGATATAGTTCTTGCTCTCAAAGAGATTAAACTATAGTTTTTCTTTCTTTTCTTTTCTTTTTTTTTTTTTGAGATAGAGTCTCACTCTTGTCACCCAGGCTGGAGTGCAATGGTGCGATCTTGGCTCACTGCAACCTCCGCTTCCCAGGATAAAAAATTCTCCTGCCTCAGCCTCCCAAGTAGTTAGGACTACAGGCATGCACCACCACGCCAAGCTAATTTTTGTTTGTTTATTAGAGACGGGGTTTTACCGTGTTGGCCAGGCTGATCTCGAACTCCTGATCTCATGTGATCTGCCCACCTTGGCCTCCCAAAGTGCTGGGATTACCGGTGTGAGCCACCACGCCCGGCCTCAAACTCTAGTTTTTCTAACTCTAGTATGTCTAATCTAGTGATAGACATAAAAGTATCTACTGAGTATGTAATATCAGAGAGTATGTTTTAACTGCTATAACAGAGATAGAGATTAGGCTGGGCACGGTGGCTCATACCTGTAATCCCAGCACTTTGGAAGGCTGAGGTGGGAGGACTGCTTGACCCCAGGAGTTCAAGACCATGATGGGCAATGTGGCAAGACCCTATCTCTACAAAATTAAAAAAATTAGCTGGGTATGGTGGTGTGTGCCTTTGGTCCCAGCTACTCAGGAGGCTGAGGTGAGAGGATCGCTTGAGACTGCAGTGAGCTGTTGTACCACTACACTACTGCCTGGGTGACACAGCAAGATTCTGTCTCCGGAAAAAAAAAAAAAGGCCAGTGCGGTGGCTCATGCCTATAATCATAGCACTTTGGGAGGCCAAGTGGGTGGATCACCTGAGGACAGGAGTTCAAATGGTGAAACCCGATCTCTACTAAAAAATAAAAAAATTAGCTAGGCATGGTGGCAGGAGCCTGTAATCCCAGCTACACAGGAGGCTGAGGCAGGAGAATTGCTTGAACCCAGGAGACGGAGGTTGCAGTGAACCGTGATCGCGCCACTGTACTCCAGCCTGGGCAAGAAGAGCAAGACTCCATCTCAAAAAAATAAAAAAGGA